ACTTCGAACCGATCCATGACGTCCTTTTTCAGTTGGAGGTCGACTCATCGTCGATAAAAAACGATTTTTGTCTGAAAAACTAAGAAAAAATATATCTTCAGCTCGACTTATCATGCTCTTGCTGAACTAAAGTTAACTTCTGGCACACCGCGTCAGCCAGGACCCAATATCAGCCATTTAAGTTAGAAACGCGTGGCGGTACAGTACACCCTCTGCGAAACACGGACTCCCAAATCGGAGCTCTCCTTTTCTCTTTTTTTCCCCTCGGCAAACTTTTCCGGTGCTGCGTGGGCTGTATGCGTTCTGAAGCATCACAATGCTCACGTGCCCCATCGCCACCGTTGCGAGGATCCCTCCCTCCCCCCCCCCCCCACTCGCCATTTTGACGGACGTGACAGAAATGTTAGCTCTGCTGGCGCTGCGTTATCCGGTGAGGCAAGGGGAGGCAGGATCGAACCAGGGGCACGGGAAAAAAAGAATTTTGAAACGAAGCGGCCAAGAAACGATCAGTTGATGGCTAGGAAAACAGGTCCACTCAGCGAATAAAGCCACTGCAGCCATGATTTTTTTGCAGCAGTTTGTTGAAAGAAGCAAAGTTAACAGAGCATTTTAAATATCTTTTACTGTGACAACGTGGAACACACCTACACTCTCAGCCGTTTAGTGATTAATTTTCAGTTATTAGCAGACGCATTTCGGTAAGCAACCATAATACTTTGCATTTCGTTAAAAAATAATAAGTATTACGGTTGCTTCTAGAAATGCGTCTGCTAATGAGCAATAGTCAGTAATAGGCTGAGTGTAAGGTCACTCAGCATAAGCCCGACGTAGTTTTTCTTCGTTTTTCAAAAATGCAAAAGTTCGTTCTGTGGAAAATTTAAATTTCTCCGTAAGACGTCGAGAGTGTGGCGACTCCGCTTCGCTCCGTCTTCTCGCGACGGGTGTGCGTGTTGCGGTGTAGTGGCTCGGTCCGGAGATCAGCGCGCCACGTAACCCATTGGCCTGATGAGCCAGTCGGGGGCGGCCGAGGGGGCAGCCGAGGGGCAGCCCAGTGCCCAGGGCCATTCTTCCAAGCCCATTTGCCGGAGCGGGCCCGGAGCGGGCCCGGAGCGACCGGCCACCGGACCGGGGCCTCCAATGAGGAAGGGGAGCGGGAAAGAAGACCCTGGCCACGGGGCCACTGGTGAACCCGCTAGTCACCGCGGCGCTGGCATGAATGGAAATAGCACGAGAGAGAGAGTGTGAGTGTGTGTGTGTGTGTGTGTGACGGTGGTATAGCCGCGGGCAACTGATGTGCGCACCCGGCTGCCCAGGCGGGGCTCTGCACTTCCCTGTTGCAACTTCCTTTATTCTGGTGGAAAGCTGTTCCACAGACTACGTACTTGCCAGGCCAGGCGTGCGCCATTGTTGCTTCCCACTGGCCTCGGCGGCCTCGGCGGGGTGTAATTGCCTGCGCTTTGGCTGCCTTTGCGCTGCAGCCTGGCTGGCGTCCTGGCTGGCGCCTGGCTTGCCGCCTGCCCCGGTGGTTCTGCCCGCACTCCACCTTTGAGCTCATCCCCGAGTGTAGGCGCCGGGCGGCGCCGAGCCAGTCGGAATAACGACTCGACACGTTACCCGGCCCAAAACGCGGCCAAATGCCAAGGCCTCGCGGAGCGTTGCTCTTTCCAGTGCCCCATGCAGCGACACCCTTCCCCCTCTCCCCCCTCCCCTTCACCTGCCCCGGCGGTGTATGACGTCAGCCCGGCTAGCAGCTCCGCATTGTCCCCGCCTCGGAGACATTTCGAGGTGCCCTCAACGATGCACGGCACTTTGGCATGTGCCTCCTCTCTCTCCCTCCCTCTCTCCCTCTCCCTCTCCCTCCCCCCTCCCCTGGGAAGCACCCTGCCAGCCATCCCGCTCGGTTCGGAAAAGGGAATTCCTGTTCCGGGCTGCAGTTTACAGTGGCCCGATCGGCATGAGGCACCCCAGGCGCCGCTCCGGCGCTCCGGCAAGAAGGCCGAACCATAATAAATCCACAGGGCGGCGCCTGCCGATTCTCGTTTGCTCGCGTTTTAACGGGAAATTCTACACCACTCTGCCGCCATTTCAGTAATGGCGCTCCTCAGCGTGGCGGCGAGCACATGGGCGCCGCACTGAAAAAAAAAAAAACATTTCGAGTTGGCGTTTCGTTTGCATATAATTGCAGTGCGGATTTAATTCTCCGCAACTTGAGAGCAGCCAAATTCCTCGCGAGGTATCCAGAGCAAGCCGCAGAGCGTTGAAGGATTTTCCGAGGGCAGCAAGTGGAGTTGAGCTTGTGGGCGAACTGGGCCAATGCGGTCCGTGCGGCACGGCGCCGCGGCGTGCCCCTGGGTGCAGTAGGCTGGCCTCGGAGTGCGGCGGGCGCTGCGCCCGAACTCTGCTTTCTGCTCTCTCTCTCTCTCTCTCTCTCTCTCTCTCTCTCTCTCTCTCTCTCTCTCTCTCTCTCTCTCTCTCTCTCTCTCTCTCTCTCTCTCTCTCTCTCTCTCTCTCTCTCTCGCACGCCCTCGGGGCTCCCGGTGAGTGCGAGGGAGACAGAGCGAGGCGCGTTTCGCTGCCGCGTCAAAGGCTACACTGGACAATGCTGCCGGCTAAGCCCCAGAAGCAAAAACACTTGCCGCCACCGCAGTTTATTTAAAACACGGGTACTTTTTCTTGGAAGTGGCTCTCCACTGTCCAGGGGCAGCCTTTGAGAGGGTCGTGTGAGCGACAATAATACTTAGTACTTTCTAAGTAAATATGACTAATTTCCTCTGTAAAGTTATGTACAAAACTAAATTGGCAGTACATTAATGAATATTTCCTAAGTAGTTCTTTAAAAAAAGGAAAAGTTACGCATTATGGTTGCACAAATTACTTGCATAAGTGCTGACAAAATGAGCAAGAAGTCAGTAACGTGCTGAGACAGCAGTACTTTTTGCCTGCTTGTCCGGACAAAGTGTGTTGTTTTGCCTATTTTTAGGCGGTCATTTTTGTATCCACGCTGCCGGAGGGGAAAACGCGAACGCGGAAAGGTGGTCGAGTTTTGTGCCGGTCCTTACAACAGTCAGTGGAGCTATCCATCATCGGCTGCCCTTGTATCCGGGACACACACACACACACCCACACTCACTCACCAACGGACACACACGCACACAAGCGCACGCACCCTTTGAGGAAGCCGTCGCCCGGATGGGGAAAGACAGACAACACCAGACGAATTGTCCGCCGTTGCCGAGGGGCTGCTTCATGTCCCCCGTGAACGGCTGCACGGAGCTGGCCTCATCAAGTCACTGTCACGAAAATGGTGGAACGAAACGAAAAGAAAAACAAAGGCAGGCCTCTTTTTATTTATTTTCGGACAGTGTGGGAGAATGAAATGACATGCGCGCTTGCGTGTGGAGGTCGAACTTCTTGTCCGGGGAAAAGGCGGTTCGATTTGTGACTGGAATAGCCACAGCCCTGAAAGAAGGAAGGCCAGAGAGAGAGAGAGAGAGAGAGAGAGGAGAGAGAGAGAGAGAGAGAGAGAGAGAGAAATGTGTGTGTGCTTCTCTCATGAACTGCTATTAGAGAATTATTATTTCAGTGGGGCTAAGTCGAGCTTTGTCATAAATTAAGCATGCAGTTGTGTTTCTAAACTGTCGATGTATTCGCAGCAGCGTAGACCCAAAGATAAGGGGGCGGACCTGATACTATTCCGGCTTATTAACGGTGTGGACGCTTTATTTCGCAGTACTTACGTCGCCGCTCGGTGAATTATGTCCGGGGTCGGGGCGTGAGGTGCAGGTGTCGCAAGGGGGCTTGGCAACTGATGGATGCCGGGGGTGGGGGGTAAGGGGTGGGGGTGACGAATAGTGGCAGGTCGTGCCGGCGCCACCACCGCCGGCAATGTTTCCTTACTTAGAGCTAGGGTCAACAGTTGTTGTGGCCGGAGCCTGTCTCTCGCTCTGTCTCTCCCTCCCTCCCTCTCTCTTTGGCTGAGTCTGTGCATGTGTACGAGTGATACTGCGGCTGGCGCTCCATGACAAAGTGACATACACCTGCGGGCGTGTGTGTGTGTGTGTGTGCGTGTGTGTGCGCGCGCGACTGACTTGGCAAATTGCTACCCTGGAATCTGCTCCTCACCCGCGTCGGCCCGAGGTCGGCCCGCCACTCCCGCGCAGACACAAACGGATGCAAACGCAGACAGACGCAGCCCGCTCACTCGCACGCCGCACGCATTATGCATGCTGGGAACGCGCCAGATTGCGGTGACTGACTAGGAAGCGAGAATACCCGTTTCGGGGGCAAAACGGAACGAGTGCACCAGGCGAGGGGACGGATTATGAGTTTGAGGTCCAACCGGTGACTTTTCCGTGCTGGCTTTCTTCGTCCGTGGAGGACGACTCCCTTGCTGTGGAGCACACGGTTCTCCGCTTGCATGCCAGGGCGCTAGCACGCCGTCCGCGTTGGCGTGGCGGCGCTGGGTGGCGGGGCGGGGCGGGGCGGGGCGGGGCGGGCCGGGGCGGGCCGGGGCGGGCCGGGGCGGGGCCTCCAAGCCACAGGAAGGAACCCATTAGGGTGCCAGTCATAATCCGGCGCGTCCAGCGAGCCTATCAAGAGCCGCCGCCCCTCCCCCTTCCCCGCTCTGCATTGACCGTGAACTTACCTCCCCCTCTCCTCTCTCTCTCTCTCTCTCTCTCTCTCTCTCTCTCTCTCTTTCCTCTCTCTCTCTTCTCTCTCTCTCTCTCTCTCTCCCCTCTCTCTCTCTCTCTCTCTCTCTTCTCTCTCTCTCTCTCTCTCGAGCGCGGTAGTGCACTGGGCCGCGATATCGTAGGCTTTCCCTGGTTGGCGAAGGTGCAAGCGGAGAGCGGCTTAAGGCGAGCGGCACGGCGTACTGCCTCTGCTTCTCGAGCCACCGGTTGCCCCACCCTGCCCCACCCCGCCCCGCCCCGCCTTGCCGTGGCGTGGGGAGCGTGGCGCGCTCCTCGCTTGGCGTGCCGCGGTTCGCTTGTGCCGTGCTAGTTTGGTGCCGGCCGCTCCGAGGCACAGTGCGCAGCTGTGCTGTCACGGGTTCTTCCGCAAAGTCGCCGCGCCGCCTCGCCGCCGCCCGGGGGACTCGCAACACGCGCTAAACTCCCATGTACGACTTTGTGTGCGATTCCGCGGCAACTTGTGCAGGACTCCGTGCACACTACAGTGCACGCTAAACTTCTTGCGGACACGCGTATCCGAACTACGGACAGTTTTGTGGAAACTTAATTGCGGATGGATTGACTTTGAACTACTGATGATTTCATCCGTATTTGCAGAGATTGCTTCGCCCGAACCTTACGAAAAATATTACAGATACGGAGACCTTTTGTAATACGGATAGAATCATCAATATTACAAACTAAAATCATCCGTGATTACTTTCACTCTGGAAACCTAACAAACTGTTTTGGGCTTTACAAACAAAAGTAGGTTGTCAAAACAAAGTAGTTTGAGCATACATCAGCTAATAAAGAAAATACTTGGTCATTCTTCGCAGATTCTTCGTATGAAAAAGTCAATAGTTTGTACCTTTCATGTGCTCAGAAGGTTTCCAGCGTGTTTGCACCGTACTGTCCGTGCTGCTGTTGCGTAGCGTCCGTAAGGACTTCAGAGCACGCTCTGTTTTTCCTCTTTTGCGCGACGTCGTGCACGAAATGATGTATGAACCAGACACAGAGTTTTACGTTGGAGTTTTCCGTGCAGAACAAGACAAGATCAAAGACGGTCGTCGTCGCGGTCCTCGGAGGTGGCGCACCGGGTTGTGTGGGTCGCGGTGAAGCCCTGTGGAGCCCCTAGGCTCGGCCCCCATGCGAGCGGAGAGGATAGCCGGGCCGAAGAGGTTTGAGGATAACGTGTAGAGGTCAGTGCAGCGGTCAGCCGTGACGCAGTTGTTTACGAACACGCTCTTAAAAGAACACGAAGTCTCTGGTTTCTAACTACCAAGGAAATAAAAACCGGGGGGGACAAACAACTTGGTCAAAATTTGTACACCGTTATTTCAAATTCACGTTACTTCATAGTTTTTTCAACGTTATTTCAAGGGCATTTCAACGTTATTTCGCGTTATTTCACGTTATTTTAACGTCATTTCAACGTTATTTCAAGGGAAATGGATACCAAAATTCAAGTTGTTTGCCTCCCGATTAAAACACTTCGACTAGCACTGACTGACGAAGGCAGCTATGTATTAGAAAAATCTCACTCGGAGACAATTTATACCTGAGGCGATTCTCACATTATTTTTAATCCTTATTTAGCTGGTGGGTCGTTTGAAAGATAACAGGAGACAGTCTGTTTCGTGAGAGTTCCCCTGGCTCGCCCGATCCGCTGGGTATTGTGACCGTTCCGAGTCCGAACACGATTGCGAGATTCGTTAGCAGTGATAATGAGGCTGGGATGCGGGAGAGAAGGACGGCGACGACCCAGTTACACTGGTAATGGAAGAGTCATGGTCAGGACCCTCGCACGATGTTGCTTCGTCACTCAAAGTTCGGCGAACGGATTATCTTTTCGCCCAAATTTGAGCCAGGAGGGTTTTGCTACCCGCACTTAAGCGATGGAGGGTGCGACTGTAAACTTAAACAAAGTTGCATCATCAGCCAAATTAAATTTTGCGAACTGAGACACACAACTCAAGATGAAGCCTTGCTGGCCTAAATTTGGTCAGTAAAACCTTCCACGTCCAAACTCATGAGTCATGACGATAATGACTTTTTCATTATCAGTGCAGACATGCGGCTGATAATGTAAATAGAAGCGGCTCAAAGAAAAAACGAAAAACCTACGAAAAGAAACATTGTTTGCAGCTGGGCCTTGCGCCCAGCTGCCGGGTTATCATCTTTTGACTGAAATAAACACGCCTGGTGCTACAACAGATAGATAGCGTTGGCCCGGACCAAACTGCGAGGAGACCTTGGTTCGACACACATTGAGTACAACGAGAGGATATGGCATAAAGGCGCAGAAGGGGCAGGCAGCTACCCTCGTGGCTCCTACACACACAATCACCTGGAAGACAGGCAAAAGGGGGAACTTCGGTTCTGGCGGTAGGCAGCACCTTCCCCCACTGGATCCGCCACTGGTTTCCCCATCACACCCTGTATTCAAGGAAATTGCTTTCGGCCAGCCTCTGCCATGGTCTCGGCCATGGTCCTTTGGAGGTTTGGCGCTTGGTTAGTCCTTGCCAGGGCTGTGGGTGCACAACCCCAAATCAAGCGAGGTGCGTGGCTTGGCGGGCCTCACGGGGTGGCACGCCCGGGGCGGTTCCGGCACCAGCCGATGGAGAGAGAGAGAGAGAGAGAGAGAGAGAGAGAGAGAGAGAGAGAGAGAGAGAGAGAGAGAGAGAGAGCGCTGCTAATTGCTGCCCTTCCTTTGTTTCAGCGCCATGGCCTAGCCGCGTGCAGATGAGGTGGACGAGGGGGACGCGGGGCGGGGGCCCCTCGAAGGGCTCCTCGAAGGCCCCCACGACCATGGGCCTGGGCCTGGGGGGCCTGGGCCTGGGGGGCCTGGGGCTCGCCCTGGCGGCCCTCGTGCTGGTGGCCGCGCTCGTGGTGGACGTCCAGGCGCAGGGCGGCCAGTCCGGCCAAAACAGCTGCCCGGCCGCGCAGGACATCCAGCCGTGCGGCTGCACCGTCAAGAAGAACGGGCTGGACATCCTGTGCGAGGCCACCGAGACGCAGCACATCAACAAGGCCATGGACGCGCTCAAGCGGCGCGGCAACGCCGTCATCTTCTACCTCAAGCTGCGGCACAACTCGCTGCCCAAGCTGCTGCAGTTCGTGTTCCTGGGCCTGGACATCCGCCACCTCACCATCCACAACAGCAGCCTCGCCGTCGTCGAGGAGTCGTCCCTCAGTTCCGTCGGTGAGTCTCCCTCGCAGTGGGTCAGAACAGCCGCGCCGGCGGCCAAAACTCTAGACGCGTTTTGAGCTCCAGAGTCGTGAAACAGGACTCGAACCGAAAGTGTGACCCCACCATTGGATTGCTCTCCGAACGAGGAATCCATTGGTGGGGTCGCACGTTCGGTTCGAGTCCTGTGTGGCCGGGAGCGCCGTGCAGGTAGGCAAACTCCCCGGCGCGACGCAGCCGAGCGCGGCGGGCCGGCCCGCCTTCAGGCGTTCCGCCGCGGGGCTGCAGCGCCACTCGAAAGTCACTGCCGTGGAGACGCTTCAGATCTGATGTGTGTCGTCGTGTTTGCAGGGAAGAAGTTGACACAGCTAGACCTCTCCCAGAACTTGCTTACCATCGTGCCATCCAAAGCGCTGAGCACACTGCACCACCTGCTGATCCTCAACATGAACCACAACAAGATCTCCGCCATCCACAACAAGGCCTTCCTGGGCCTCGACACCCTGGAGATCCTCACGCTGTACGAGAACAAGATTGACGTGGTCGACGACCAAGCCTTCGAAGGTCTGGGAAAGTAAGTAGCACTGGACAGAAACGGAAAAAAAAGAGTTTTTGTTCTATTGTTGTAATAATTTTTGTTTCTGTGTTCAGGAAATTGAAGCGTCTGAACCTCGGCGGCAACGGTTTGCGTCAGGTGCCTCAGAGGGCGCTTGCCACGCTCGAGGTGCTCAGGAAGCTGGAGATGCAGGAGAACGAGTTGACAGAGATTAAAGAAGCGGATTTCGAAGGTAAACAATTCTTCTACAACCTCACCCTTTTTCTGCGAAAAAAATTCATTCTTTTTTCTAATGTTGCACGTGTTTTCCGTATGTTTTTTCCAGGCCTCCGGAATCTAGACACTCTAAACTTGCAGCACAACCGGATCAACACGGTGCCAGCTCGGGTGTTCTCCCACTTGAAACTCCTCAACTCCTTGGAACTGGAAAACAACCAGATCCGTTTTGTGGATCCAGAGGCCTTCATCGGCCTGGAAGGTGAGCTTCGTGGAGGTGGCGTGCGGGCCCGGGAACAGCAGACTGAGAGTCGTTTTCGTCCCTCTGTTTCTCTCGCACTCAGGGGGCGACCCCCATAGGCGTGAGAGGGACAGGGCGACGAACACGGCTCTGGGCAGGGGCCGGTCGCTGTAATGAAGATGCATGCATGCATGCATGTCTTCGTTCATGATGCATGGAGGGGAGGGAGGGGTGCAGCCAACAACAACAACAACAAACGTGGGGGAAAATATTGACCCAGCCCACACGGCAGCGAACGGCGCCGCCTTAAAGCCCGCCCTGTGTGTTGCAGAAAACCTGCAGTACCTCCGCCTCGGCGACAACAAGCTCAACGCCATCCCCAGCGACGCCCTGCGCCGCCTGCACCGACTGCGCCACCTGGACCTGCGCGTCAACAACATCACCTTCATCCCGGACGACGCCTTCTCCGGCTTCGGGGACTCCATCACCTTCCTGAACCTCCAGAAAAATGCGTGAGTACCGCCGGGCCCCGCCAGGCAGCGCCACTACGCTTCTTTGTATCGGACCGCGGGTCTCGCGTCCACAGTCACACGTTCTCTTTCATTTGCGATCCAACCGATGTTCATCTTTGGCTATCGACTCGCGAATGCGTTTTTGTGTGTGTTGCTTCCCGTGCACCCGCTCTGTCTACGTTTTCAATTTTCAACGTTTAGTTTCGAGGTGCAACCATTTCGTTTCCTGAGCACCTAGAGATTGAGAGTGCAGTGCTTTCAGTCCGACTTGGCCGGCTTGGCCTAGCACTAAATTCATTTTTAAAATGTATAACACGGCAAAAGTACCGCCTGGGATTCCCAGGCGGTGCCTGGAGAATAGGCCCTTTTCCTTATGATGCGCCTGGGAATCCCAGGCGGTACTTTTGCCGTGAACGGACCAGCACGTTTTTTTTAACTATTATCATTTTTTTAAAATTATTTTTGCACAAGTTTTTGTGTTTTTCCACCTAGAAATTGCTTGCACTTAGGCTTGGTTGTGGTGTCCATAGCGAAATGCAGCTTAACATCTGGGTAATGAGGGTGGCTGCGTTGTGACCCCTATGTTTGGCTTAGGAATCCTCGTATTTAAGAGACGCGCCATATCGTTGGGCTGAGCTGTAGGGAGACAAGAAGACTCAAGTTTTTGATCAGCCGCGAAGAAAAGAAAACGGAGTAAAGGTAAGTTTGCAAGGATTTAATAAACCTTTTTACGGTTTATTGAGTACAACCTGCATGTGTCCCCAGCCCTGTCCAAACTAACCATGGCCCAGTCCCTACACTAAGCCAATGGAACAGCAAGCTAAGCTCAGTTGCAACTAACAATGCTTCTCTGGGCGGCGCCAGTTGGAATTTGTTCGGTAAAAAAGAACAGTTTTCTGCGAATGTGTTACTTCTTCTAGGGCACTTGCTCAAACTGTCGGCCTGTTCTCCAGGGATGTCGGCCGGGCGCAGCGAGTGCTGCCGACGTTGCCTGATAGCACACTAGGGCGGATTGGCGACTCAGTGTTTTGGTGGGGCTGTCTTGTTGCAGCATCCTCGTCCTCCCGGGACTTGCGTTCGAGAACCTCAACTCTCTCGAGACCCTCAACCTGCAGAACAACAAGCTGGAGCACGTCTCCGAGGAGGTGATGGAGCCCATCATCGACACTGTCACACACTTCGACCTCTCGGGTGAGTCCAAAATAAACTCGAGTGGTCCTTTGTGAAGCCACTCGGCGAGCTGGCTCGCCCACACGCCGCCCACACGGGCTTGACAAATTTATCATACTCGTCCGTCAGCCCCAAAGAGCTGTAGAGCACAAACACAAGAGTTGTGTCAAGAAACGACAAACAAAACTCATTTCTTTGACCTGATGTTTCAGACAACCCACTGACGTGCACCTGCGATTTGGCGTGGTACCACACGTGGTACAGGCGGGCAGTGGGGATGGTCGACGAGCCAGCGGCACACAAACGGAAAACCATGTGCTACCTAAACAGCGAACACCGCGAATACAACCTGCTCGCCCTGCCACTCGAAAAGATGCATTGCGTGGGGAAAAATTTGGGGCAAACCTCCTCATCCACGCGCACTGGGGCACCTTCACTGCCTACCATGCTCAGTGGGGCAATTTTTATCGCTGCAGTGTTGGAGTCCGTTCTGTAAACCTTAGTGAGTCCGAATAAGTGCGATCCAAGGAGGAACGGTTTATGAGCCAGTTCATGAAAGAACGGTTGTCAATTTTCGGATCTAGAATCTTAGAGTGCCATAGATCATTTTAAATGTGAAGGCGTGTCATGGAGAACTCTTCGAAAACAAAGATTTGTGCTTTGGAACGGTAACGTTAATGTGCCATTTTTATTTTTCGTTGACTTAAATACACTACAGGTGTAACTAAATGCCCCTGAATATTTTTAACTTATTTCGGAATGGTGCGGTTTTGTGATAACTCAGTTACTTATTTCAGTTTTAGGTGCTAATGTTAAAAACGTTGTTGCGTTTTGTTATTGTTTTTTCCTTGAGTTTTATGTGTACGTGTTCTAAATTGTGCTGTAAATTTATGTGTAAATACACTTTAGACTTACCATGCGTTCCAAAGAGCATAAGAGGCAGGAAGGCGCGAAGAGCGTAATCATTTTGAGATCGCGTTGAGGTCTCTCTTTGTAATTAAATGGGATACTTAACTAATCTGATGAGATCCTACTCATAAGAGACGTGGTTTGTTTCCCTTTTTTGTAAATATGGACTTGTACTATTAAGAAAATACTCTCTATTTTTGGCAAGGTTTCATTGCTCTGGCTGATTTAGCACGCTGAATACGCGTACGTTTTTGCAGGACGTTAGAAATTTTTTATAAAACGGTGCATGTTTCTTAAAATAATATGTCGACACCTGTAAGGAAAAGGCACGCAGTAGCGGCCGCGCGATCCAAAAGGCGCTCAGTTGCGGCCCTGCGATCTGAAAGGCACGCAGTATGCCGCGCGCGATCCAAAAGGCACTCAGTTTGCCCCGCGCGATCCAAAAGACACGCAGTTTACCGGCCGCCAGCGGTAAACTGCGTGTCTTTTGGATCGCGCGGGGCAAACTGAGTGCCTTTTGGATCGCGCGCTGCAAACTGCGTGCCTTTCAGATCGCAGGGCCGCAACTGAGCGCCTTTTGGATCGCGCGGCCGCTACTGCGTGCCTTTTCCTTACAGGTGTCGATGTGCCTGATAGGTCAAAATTGGTATCTCCCTTAACAGATTGGCTCTTCAATTGTTGTTGAATTTTCTGGCTTCCTGTTTTATTTCAGGAGCTTACTCCAATGCTTTGTTAGACCTGACAGCCCGAATTATGTCGCAGGCTATGCTTAGGTCTTTAATCGGGAAATAGCTTTGTATTTTGTCTTTATTGACTCATTCGTGTTCTATTTGTCTATTACCCCATTGTAGAGTTCTGTTTAAATCATCCGATTTTAAATGAATGATTCAAGAAGTATTGGCATCGTCCGTAATAGTTCGTTCTACACGTAGCCTGCAGTAAGAAATGCAAACGTTTTCGTGTTGTCATATTTTAGAGGAAAGCGGCGTACCTTGAAACAAACCCCTGTAAACTGACACAGGCAAATTAGATGCGAGAAAGACTTAACTATTACTGATAAATTGGGCACTGGTGGCCTGATAGAGCGTTTGATTTAACCGCAATTTAATTAGAACTAAAACACAGAGTACGTATTTATCACTTTATAAGCATGTTAAAAACGTCATGAGTTTGATGCACTGTCTTCTACATATCTCTTTTTGATTGTTTATAATTCTATGTACCTTAAACATATCATATTTCATGTTTACCGATAAGAATTGTTCTTCACGAAAGTTGTAAATGATCTTTATACATTGTGATATATTGTTGTGAAGGTGGAGTCATCGTAGTCAGTCGTTATTTGTGCCTCAAAATATTAATGTTAACATACATATCATGCACATATCAATTCTATTTAAATGTTTGCGAAAAATATATCACGCCATGTGTCAGGTAAGAAACGGCCTGAACTTTCTAATATGGCCTGGACTCTTATCCAGTCTTTTACTAGGAAGTAAAAATGGTTTTATTTGTCCCGTACATTACAAGTACATCCCTTATCAATTTCCTGTAAGTATGTGTTCATAATGTGTAAAATCAGATACTTATGTTTTATGTCGTAGCTATTGCTCGTAAAATTTGTTTAGTGTAGTAAAATTTGATGTTTAGCTAAGGCACCGTGACCGGCTCTTCAAGAGCGGCACAAGAACCATTCAATACATATCGGTTTTATTCGTGCATTGCCAAATTTGCACCGGCACTTGCTCATCGTGCAATATTTTTCTACGATCTTTTTCTCGTGTCAGGCCATCGTTTCTAAGTGACCTGGGGCAGTTGGCAATGCCGAAGCAAAACGCCCATCTTGCTACGGTTGGTTTATTTACTTGTACTATATTTCCAGCCGTAGGAAGTAAACTTAGATTGTTTGAGTACATATCATTATTTTAAAATTATAAATTGTACATTTCTTATATAGTGGCTCCTACTTGTATTTTTTAAAATCATGTGTCATAAATCATTTGCCATCTTTTACTCATTCCATCCCCTCGTCGTATTTTTGTGGTCGATCAAATCTTTACCACGCATTGTTTTAACGATATCGCATTTGGATAAAATTGTGTTCAATATTTACATGTGGTCTTTAATGCAGATCAATAAAATTCTAACGTTAATTCCAGTTACCATCTCTTATCACCTTTGCGTGCCTGCAGTTCCCGACGCATGGCAACACGTCTCCATTTCAGTTCGGGATGTCGGCGTGCTGTACCTTGGCTTCCCAGGAACGGCTTTTCACCTGTCTAACGTGTCGGAACTTTTTTTGCCGCGACTCCCACTTGCCCCTCCCCGTAACCATCTAAGTTTTTTCTGATTACCTTGAATATTAAATTTTACGAAAGGGAATCTTACTGTTCCATTTAAAAACAAAAAATAGTCTTAAATAAGCTACAACAGATTAGGTTCTGTGAAGAGTCTTGTTGCTGCATTCTCTGAAATTTGACTGAAACGTAGTAGGCAAGTGCTAGTTTGAGCTGCCAGCTGTCCAGAGGCCGCTGCAATTCACATTTGGCCAGTGCCGGCCCAGTGAGTGATAATGCTGCCGCTGTTTCAGGCTCAAGCACCTGCCCATAGCGGCTTTTGAGAAATTCCACTACCTCGAGAGGATCTACGTGCAAAACAACCAACTCATGACGCTTCCTGAAGAAGTTGTGGCGCCGTTCATGGAGTCTCTAATTTTGATTGAAATGGCAGGTGGGTACCTACGGCTGGAGTCTACTACTATTCTTCTCTTGTGTTCGGCATTTTTTGACATTGTTTTCTTGTTGTAGGAAACCCCTTTAGGTGCGACTGTGAACTAGCGTGGTACACGGACTGGTACAAGAACAAGAGGCCGGCCGGCGAGGACCCGAGGAACGTAATATGTCACATGCAGTCCGAGCATCGAGAATATTCGGTGCACGAACTTCCCCTCGCAAAGATGGGCTGTGGTGGCAAGGCTTACCAACCACCTAAAGCAAACTCCGCTCCAACCTTTGCGACTGTGGGCTGGGTCGTATTAAGTACCTTGCTGTGTAAAAGTGTGTTATCTTAATATTTAATTCGGTATCCGAATGCGTTATGTTGAGTTATAAATGGGTTAATCCGTACCTGAACAACGTCTGAGTAATTATTGTCATTTTCTACGTTTGTTGGCATGCCTGGCTCTGTTTCCTAATCTGCATTGCGTCCTGTTTTCTTTCATTGGCTCGCAGCATGGCATTTTTTTACCAACGTGATTTTTATTTAGAAATTACAACAGCATTCAATAAAGTAAGCATTATTTTGTAACTTGAACATCAAGCCGATGTAACTTTGCTCTCAGAACATTTTGTGTCTGTAAAGCATAATCCTCGGAAAACTAAAGTTTTGTGCTTCTGTGGAATATATTATTGTGGTAGTACATCTCACTGTATAAACGTCTTTAATGAATGTCTGAGCATATCATAGAGTGGCACTGCTGGTCTAATTTCACTATAAAATAAGGTTCATGTTTTGTGTGTTTAGAAGGTCTTTATGAGTGTGTGCGTGTGTGTGTGTGTGTGTGTGTGTGTGCGTGTGTGTGTGTTTAAAAACTTATTTTAAAAGCCGTATATAACTTACATGTCATTATATTAAAGTAAGTGTTAGGAGGCCTAAAAATAATATGACACCCAAAAGCCACGGAGTATTATGTTACTTACTCTTTAGGAAAGGCTTTGGGAACTTCTTCATGACGTAGCTCTGTTTCTCACTCGTAGATTGCATTTGAAGTGACGCGCTGACCCCAACTCTATGCCTTGGAAAGTTCTTAGAAGTACTGCAAAGCATCACGGAGGTTTTGCAATAAGTGTAAAAAGACATAAGCAAGATGTAACATTGCTTATTTAATTTAGCTCCTCATTCAGCGACTTTGTGTAGATGCTGACCCTCTAGCATCAAAGACGAGTTCTAGATTTGGTGCAATTTAAATCTTGTTACGCGGGAGTCGTGGGAGGTAATTGTTGTTTGTATCTTTTGATAATTTCTTTAAAAACTCTTGTTACTTTGTTTATTTTATGTATAAAATACAGTTGTTAGTAACGATAATTAAGTGTGTGAAAAGATAGCAAACGAGTAAGGGCAGGTGTGTTTAAACTCATAACCAAACATATCATGTAATTGTGATTTTTGTCAGTGCAATATTGATGTTTCTGTCGGAACCCCGACATAACATGCAAAAGACTCAGACAATAAAGCCTCGTTCCGCGTTTGGTGTCATTGCTAATAATTTGGCCCTCTTTGGGGCGCAATGGTAGCGTGTGTATTTTCAGTTGGTTTCGGCAGGAATAACCAAGACGGGTCTGTTAGCCTCAATGTGAGGTATGTCATTTACAAACGTTTCTGCTAACTAATAAATCTGATGGAAGATGTGGATGTGATTAAATGGCGAATAAAACTTCGGGAGAGTTCCCATCTGAGTGTTTGCGTGCATGAACTTTTATTTCACGTCCCCTCATAAGCTCATAAGGGCACCTGTGATGCTGATTTGCCTCTTCGCTATCCGGCGTTTCGGGGTGGTAAAAAACAAGAGAAATTGGTGCTTTATTTATTTTCTGACACTTCAAAACGAAATGAACACTGTACTAATTTTGAATAAAAGAAATTATGTACAAATGTCTATTAAAAGCTAACTAGACAATATAACGGCACTATTTCAATATTTGTGATGCATCCAACTTAAACAGTAAGAAATCGATACGATAAATAACTCTTATATCTGAAGTAAGACACGGACGGTGGACAGCTCGCACAAATAAATAGAAAAGCATTATATTTACAAATATGATACAACGATGTGGCCACTACGGAAAGGCTGTCTTTTAGCACCTAGGAACTAATATCCTTTGTAACAGAACTTGGTAGGTCAGGAGGCTTAACTTACAGAATACGGATACAGACACTTTCTAGTAAAAATGGCCTTTTAAGAGTAGCGCCGCAAAAACAAATAACAAAAGATACCAATACTGGAAAGAAGGCATCCTTACAAATGAATGTAATCAGTCACTGTCATGGAAAGCACGAGAATTATTTAGAAACGGAAGGCAGTAAAAAAACACAGCACGAACGAGATTACTACGAAGTCGGTGACCTAAGACATAGAAATTCTATTGTTGTGTTTTAGATACTTAAACTACATGTGCGCCTTAATCGTTACAGCGCTTCACCGCACCGGTATTTTGGTTAAATCTTGAAAACGTTTCCCTTTTTTTTCTTAAAAAGGATAATATTTGTCAATGATAGAGTGAGAGGGTGTAATGCAGATAAGGAAGTCGTTTTAAAAACTTAATACCGCCTTTTGAGTTCCTTCTTCCGTTTGCTGCTGTTCCCTGAGTCCCTTGTTGCTCTCGCCCACGGCTTACTTCCCCTTGTAGCTGCGGTACGCCAATGCTGTGCTGAGGAAGTACAGCACTGTGTTGATGAGTCCGAGAATCTACAGGGAACGGATCAAGTAATTAGTGTCATTCCTTTCGTTTCTATTTAACTCAGAAGCGTTTGATTAAGCGTTTGCATTAGTAAATTCCGGAGCACACGTGTGTCGTAACTGAGGTAATATCGGGTGATTTGACTTCATCAAAATAAAAAATATCAATTTATTTTCAAGCCTTGTGCAGCACTCTCATGAAGCAGGCGTGGCAAGGGCTACTTCACAATGTTTTGGATTCCAGGGGCCCACATGTCCCAGACAGCGTGGGTTATGGAAGTTACGCAACACATTTGCAAAGGCTACGGTTAAAATCTACAAAATCTGAATTCTGACTCGCCGTTATTTGGATTGCTGAGCTACGGTTCACGGTCTGAACGAGAATCAGAACCCCAAAAGAAGAGTGTAGGGCCCCCCGACTCACCGAAGCGAACACCTTGGAACTGTACCCCTTCTCCACAATATGGAAACCCTCGTTCCGACCCCTGACCCGCTGCAGCGTGCTGGCCGACGCAGACAGCAACAAGAGGGTGGCCACGGCGCCAAACACCATTTCCTGAGTCACGACACAGCCGCGCGTCAATACTCCCGCCGGGAACGGGGATACTCCGCGCAGGCGGAGACACCACGCCGCTCTCGGGCGGGGAGTATCTTCAGGGCAGCGCTCTCTACAGGTGGGTCGGAAGCTCGGGAGAAAAACAGGTGTCTGTTTTGGCAGTTTCCGTGTCTGCTTGATTTTTGCATGGTTCTGCACGGAACAGAGCCCCGTGCGCCCCCCGAGCCTCCACCCATCCACCACCACCACCTAAAGCAGAGTGCGGCGTCAAAATGCGTGCAGGGCCTGTGGGGCAGGTGGACAGGTACTCACGGCGGCGGCAAGGTAGGCCTCGTAGTTACTACTACCGTAGTAACGCGACCGGCGCTGAACTTCTACAAGGAAGTTAATGCTAGCCGCCAGGTACAAGACGGTCGCTACAAAATGGAAGATGACCTCCTGCAAAACGGCATTCACGTCAGACAGCTCCGTCAGCCTGCTCGGTCTCCTTCCAGGTCTCAGTCATCCGGAAGAGCATTCCGAAGGGAAAGGTGCTGGACCTGTAGTGGAAGGGGGGGAGAATCGACTCGTCCACACCCCACGCTCGCGCATGGGGTCTTGACAGGATCGTTCTTTGAGACCAATTTTATGGTGGCAATGCAAGTAAACAGTAATGCATCGCAATCACAGCGTTTTCGATGGGCAATAATCGTTAATGGATTTAAAGGGCATTGGTCTACGCCCTAATTATGCCATCGTGTTGCCAGTTAGGCAACCTCAAAATCAACACTTAAATCTCAGGAGATTCAACTTACGAAAATGGTCTTGGGTAGGATGGAGGCACTTGATATGGACAAGATGCACGACAGCAGTAAGCACCCCGTCCCCACCAGACACGTGACGGCCACGATGCAGAGGAAGACCTCTGGCGACGACGTCGGGTAGTTGTGCGCATAGTTGCTGTAGTAGGCGGTGATGCCGATGATGACCGCGCCGATCAGCTGGAAACGAAATCAACCGTTCAGTGCGCCATTCAAAAAACTTTCTTCGAATAGCTTAACAAAGAAGGTAATTTGGGACAAGCTCCCCATCGGTCAGCATGGAAATCTAAGTACCCCACACCTTCGAAGTCACCCCATGATCGGAAGGCAGTTCGGACAGTTGTGGTGCATTTAAATTTGCGCTACCTCCCCTCCCCCTTGGAAAAAGGCTAGCTCTGGACCCGCCACTGCAAGAAGAGAGACCGCAGTATCCGAAGCTCCGCGACGCAACGCGAGGCGAAGCGGGGCAACGAGGCGGTAAAAATAGCCGCGCGCGGCGAAAACGGAGACGCCCTCAAACCGAACAAAAAACGCCAGAAATACTCGGAGTGCGCCACGCCGGTCCGCGGAGGGAGAATGGAGCAAGACTAGCAACACAGTCCTAGACTCTGTTTGTTTTGCTTCTCGTACATGAACTTGACTTGGGGCTGCTCTCTGCCAAGTAGTGCTTCCCACCTGGCGTGCCTGGCGTCGCGCCGTCACAGTGGACTTTCACTGCTCAGCGCCAAACAATTTTCGTTTTGAACTTTCTGCTGCACCCTAAAAAGCCACCTCTTGAACCAAGAAAACTTTCTTGACAAGTGATTTTACTTGAAATATGCAAGTAAATTGACTTGATGCAGGTTCGAGAAACGCCTTTTTTGTGCAGTTTTTGGCGGTGCTTTTCCGGGCCCTGTGTGCCGCGCCCCCGACGCGCCGCCATGCCGCCATGGCCCCGCGACGCCTCGCGGCACACCGTGGCACACCGTGGCACACCGTGGCACACCGGCAGCGCTATGGGAACTGACCACGCCCTGCGGGGACGCCATGCGCCGTCTCTCTCGCTCTCACGACGCGGCCCGCCCCCGCGCTGACGTGCTGTCCCTCTCGCTCTCGCGGGACCGGCGGACGCGCTCCGACTCGTCCTTCGGGTAATCGCAGGCATCACGCAGCCGGTGCAGAGCAGTGCAGAGGCGCCCCGGGCGTGAGCCTCGGCGTGAGCCAATTCAATTAGTGTCTTTCTCGAGCCGCGCGAATCAGCAGTGTGGTGTCTCTACCGCCTCGGCGTGGGACCTGTCAGTGATGCGTTGGCAAAGAAGGGTCCAAGATGCACCAATGTCGGCAAGGGTTGCCAACTTCGAGGGAAACCTGGATTTGCTGGTAGACAGCCTCAGGTTGCCAACCCTTTTAACACCAGTGCATCGAGGGTAACGTTTTGCCAACATTTTGTCAACGTCTTCCCAACGTGTTTCCGACAATTTGCCAACGTTTTGCCCGCGTTTTGCCAACGTGTGAGACAGCAGCTCGAGGCGAGCCCTTACCAGTTCGAAGAGCTTGAGCAGCCCGGGGTACGTCTTGAAGTAGCCCGTGTTGAGCAGGATGGCCGACGTGGTGCTGGTGGTGGTGGTCCGGGTCACGGTCACGGAGTGAGACATGTCGTCTGCCCTGTGGGAGCGAAAACCATTGCTTCAGGACTTCGAGAGGAAAAATAGAAACACGTCGCCTGCGTTTCGACTTGAAACTCAAACTCGACACTAATACTTAAATATAAGAAGCTTGAAAACTAAACTTAAAACTTGAAAACCAAACTCAAAGTTTTAAGATTGAACTCGAAACTTAAAAATCGAACTCGAAACTTGAAAATCGGACTCGAAACTTGAGCTCGAACCCGCGGCGACAGCGCTAGTGCCACTCTCATTCGACGAATGTGACGTCACATTGACCAGTGTGCCCCGTTTTGCCACGCGGCTGTGACGAGGAATGCAGCGGGCTAAGCGGAGGGCCCCGGCGTGAGGATTTGTGCGGCTGCTGCTGCTACACTGCGTCCGCGAATAGGGCCGTCGAAGTAGGACGCAGCGCCAAGCCGTGACGTCACTGTGACGTCACTCAAACAAACTGCGGGGCCGAGCGTGCAAGGCGCTGCACTTACCGCTCGGCGTGTGTAAGTGTGTGTGTTTGTGTGTGTTTGTGTGTGTGTGTGTGTGTGTGTGTGTGTGTGTGTGTGTGTGTTAGAGAGAGAGAGAGAGAGAGAGAGAGAGACGATTATTTTTCGATTATATTCCGTTCTTTTGTATTCTACCGCGAATTCTCCTCGTTTTTGCCGCCCCCGGCGATAATGTCCCTCCTAGCCGACATCAGAGCAACTGTTGCCCTTTGCTCGGCCTGGCTTTGCCTCGCTTTGATCCAGGGCCCTGCAGGGCCACGCGTATCGCCGTTGGAATGCTCGCGGACCGCGCGGAACGGTCGCCGAGCACGGCATCACTCGCTGACCCTCCCCCGCGGGCTTCGTCGCTCTGTCTCTCTCGCACCCACACGCCCCCATGAGTGCGAGGGAGACAGACCGACGTTCGCGATGGGCAGTCTGCTAGGCAGTCTGCTGGGCAGCCTATCGCCAGACTGGCGCCTCGCGTCGAGCTTCGAGCGCACACGTCCAGGACTGTCCTTCGGCGACTCACGCCCCCTGCAGACTGATTCCGAGAGTCGCTTTCGTCACTCTGCTTCTCTCGCCAGTAGGGGACGCCTCGTGAGTGTGAGAGAGGCAGAGCGACGAAAGCGACTCTCGGAATCAGTCTGCAGGATCAATGCGTATCAAGGCGTATACATCACGGGCTGATAGGCTGTCAATTCCTGAGGCGCAGGCACCGGCACGCCCCCTAGGACTGGCTCAGCCGAGCGGTTCAGAAGAGCGGCTGTCTCTCTCGCACCCTTATGGGGAGGCCCATGAGTGCGACAGAGACAGGGCCGAAGGGCCAAAGGGAAAGGGACCGAGCGTGAAAGGGCGTCGCCTGGACTTCCCTCGCGGTGAGCCGTCCCCGCCGTCCCGGCTTTTCGTGCTTTGCTGCGATGAGGAAAACAATAAATCACCACCCCTCCCTGCCGGGCTGGCGGCCTGGCGGTGCACCCTTAAGGCGATGACCAACGCACCGCGAGGGAGAACCCTCAGCCCGGCCCGCCCTGCCAGGTGGAGAAAGGAGTTCTGGCGGAGCCCTCCGTCAAGGGGGCGGCCAATCAAACGCGGGGGTGGGTGCGTGGGAGTGGGGGGCAGAAACGACTTCTCATTTGTACGGCGCTAAATAGGAGGGCTGAGGGTCAACGACCTAGCCGAGAGACTCTCGCACCCATACGGCACGCCCCATGAGTGCGAGAGAGACAGAGCGATGACCCTCGGAATGAGTCTGCCGCTCCGGATGTCCTTGGCGAGCACGGCCTCCGCCCGTCCGCCTTTTCGGCCCAGATGTCCTGCCCGGCGACGCGCGACGCGCCATACATGGACTAGGTGAACGAGCCGGCTTCGTGCCCCCACCCAACCCGATGCCGCCCGCTGCTGCACCGACATCACATCACCCGTACGACCCAGTGGCCGCGAAGACCCCTGCCGGCGTCTGCCTGTCTGCTCTCTCTCTCTCTCTCCCTCTCTCTCTCTCTCTCTCTCTCTCTCTCTCTCTCCCTCTCTCTCTCTCTCTCTCTCTCTCTCTCTCTCTCTGCCCACGCCGCGTGGCCCCGCTCCAAACACTCTTAAGCCCCGCGACACCGCCGCAACGAGCGTCCCAAGCGACAAGGCGGCTGTGGAATGAAATTATTATTGCTCGCTCGGTGACCCTCGGCCGGCACCGAGCGCGACGCAGCGATGGGGGTACCCTCCGAAAAAAACAGCGATAACGACAACAAAGCGGGTTGAATGCCAGCCACGACACGGTAAGAACTATTGGCTTCCACTATTGAATACTTAATTTCGAAGATCGTGTAATTTTTAGAAGTGATACTAAAATTTTTCGTAGTTCTGGTTACCTTTAGCAGTAGGATATTTTTTTGAGTACCTTTAAGGCACACCATCCTCCAAGAAACACTTTTTTGCAGCTCTATTAAATTTCTCTACTAAACTGGTTGACAGCCTTTTTTTGCATGATCTCCAAAGAATGTTCTTCAATCATTTTCTTGGGCCGAATAAAACAATCGCAGCCGACTCCACGTCGACGCCCAAAGCGCGCCAAAATTGAAATTGCCGCGCTTTTGGCGGCCTTGGTGCTTCCGGCGCGCGGGCGGGGCGCTGCAGGAGCCGCCGTCGCGTCCAGCAGACTGAGAGTCGTTCTCGTCGCTCTGTCTCTCCCGCACTCCTGGGGCGTCCCGCATGGCTGCGAGAGAGACAGAGCGAGACTCTCGGAATCGGTCTGCAGGCCGGAAGGGTGAGCTGCTGCTTCCTGCCGTGTGCACTGTAGGCACTGTCGCAACGACCAGCATGGCCAGCATGGCCAGCATCAGGACGGCCGTCGCCAGCCAATCAGCACTCGCTCCCTCCCCCTTTAGTTGCCTTCAGTCCAGTAGTCACCTCTGTTTCCCGCCGCTACTCGCTAGGGTTGCCACCCTCGTAGGATGACTGTACCGCGGCCCGCTAGGGTTGCCACTATCGTAAGCTGACTGCACCGCGGCCCGCCTGGCCCGCTAGGCCCGCTAGGATTGCCGCCCTCGTAGGCTGACTGTACCGTAGCCCGCTAGGGTTGCCACCCTCGTAGGCCGAATGCACCGCCGCGGCCCGCTGGGCCCGCTATAGGGTTGCCACCCTCCCTCCACGCGCCGCAGGCTTTGATAAGGGCGATACGGCGAGGGTATTAACCGGTATCAGAAGGCACGGCCTGCGCAGTCACTGCCAACCTAACGACTACAACTGTGAATAGTCGGCTGTAGTGCCAACCTAACGGCAACAACGGCAATGATGATTACAAGTGCGCGAGAGATCTCTGTGCCACTGTAAAAGCTGCGCCCACTTCGAATATCTTCGTGGTTTATACGGGTGTTGCCCCCCGAAGACAGCATACCAGAAAATTTGTCGAGCAAAGGGGCGCGCGTGGCGGGGAGGAAAGGTCAAGGGATGTTTTTGTTGTTGGTGTGGCGGTAATGCCACGGCAGTGCACTGCAGGCAGGGAGAGAGAGAGAGAGAGAGAGAGAGAGAGAGAGAGAGAGAGAGAGAGAGAGAGAGACTGAGTGGTGCGGCGTCAAGTGTGGGCGCCCCCTCCCTTCCTGTATTACGATTCCGTCCCCAGGTTCTTCGCCCCCGTCCCGCCGTCCTTCGCTATCGCGTTATGCTAATCACATCCCTCCTGGACACAGCCCTTCGTGCAATGACCCAAAGTGCAGCCGCAATCCACCGCCAGAGTGCCACTAGCTCACTGTTAAAAATAAATTGGAAAATCCTGAAAGTACGTTTCGAAGCTTCGGTAATTTCCAGAGGGCTTCGCGTTTCAACAAGACTTTTATGTACCACTACACTGGTTTGAAACTCATTTAAAGTGGAAACAAAAAAATAGAATTTTCCACAACTCTGAGATTGTTTTTTTTACTCCGGCACTTTCCAAGAATTTTTTTAACAGTGTCGTTTTAGAAAACATTTCCGAAGACACCAACAAGAGGCCTCCTACACTTTTGGCAAATAGTCCATGCAAGTATGACCGGGCTTCAAATAACTCGGCGGTGTTTGTTTTTGCGCGGTGGTCGTGGTGGGTCCCGGACCGCGCGCGAAGCACGCGAATTCAAACAAGAACAGACGTCACCGTTGACTCACTGCCGAAGGATGCCGAAGGATGTGGGTGCGGTTGCCTCTCCTCCTCAGCCGGATGGATCACTGTAATTCGGTCACACGATAATCTACGAGCATGTTGTTTACATAGCGTGCACTGTAAAAATAGATTTGCCCAATTTTGCTTCGTGGCTTCACATAATTTGACGTTTGTGAAATTTTTCGTCCATATTTCTTTTAAAAACAGAACAAAATAAATATTGCGATTGTTTTTTGTTGACTTTAGTTTTTTTTTTTAAGTCGACTTGTGTGCCGTCGCGGCGCTGCAGTAGGCCAACGAGGTCAGGACCTCGAGACCGGAAGAAGGCGGAAGCTGGCGGACGCGCTCGCTGTGTGTGTGTGTGTGTGTATGTGTGTGTGTGTGTGTGTGTGTGTGTGTGTTGGTGTGCGTGCCGATGTCTGTGCAAGTGCAACAGCTGGCCCGCGCTGGTGCGCACCGTGCAAGCAGGGAACGTGCAAAACGAGAGGGAACTGTTGCTCTGCTGCCGGAAACTAGAATCCAACAGCTTTGTCTTTGCAGTGTCGCCTACGAAGGGCTATCTACGGCGGCGGGGTGAACGCCACCAAGCCTGGGCGCGCCGCCGGCCGTCACTCACATGGCCGAGAGAGAGAAGGAAGAGCGAGAAGACCGAGAAGAGCGAGAAGGAGAGGAGTCGACGGGCAAGCCTGGACTTCTGGACTTACGGTGTCGGGACTGCAGTCCTGAGGGCTGAGGGTCTGAGGAGGCTCCCGTGGGACACACAAGGATCGGCTCCGTTCGCGGCGCAGTCCAGCGGCCCACTGTGCAGGCCTGCGCGTCGGCCGGGCCCACGACGCCGCGGCCGCCCCGCCCCGCCACGCCCCGCCACGCCACGCCCCCTCCGCCCGCACGCCCCCACCCACTCCCACCGAGGGCCCGCTCACTGAAGTGAACCGGCAAAGCGTGCAGTTTTCGCGCCTCGTTGGGATTGTGGAGTACTTGCAGGCGGAACCGGGTGGCTGCTGCTGTTTTCGCGACAGGAAGTGTCGATCAAATTATCGACTCGCGTCACTGATAAAGGTCCTGAGTAGCGACTTTGGATTTTGGTGGGATGCAACGCGTTCCAAGCCACTGCCAAGGAATGTGAAGGACTGTCGTTTTACTGGTTTTACTTTGTGTCACGGAGTCAAACATCGCGAGAAAAAAAATGGCATCGACTTGTTTTGTTTCTTCGCATTTTATTTTTTGCCCTCCACTGTTGGGTGGGTGTGGGGCACTTTTTGAACCGGCGCCAGCTTCTTAACTGCCTTTCCGTCTGCTGCGCGCTGCGGCGAGCGCCGGGCCGATTGTGAGACAGGCCGGCGCCTCGCGCGAGGCTATACACCACTTTCCATCACGGCAGACTGATTCCGAGGGTCCCTTTCGTCGCTCCGTCTCTCTCGCGCACATTCGGGACGCCACAAGAGCGTGAGAGAGACGGAGCGACGAAGAAGACTCGCGGAATCAGTCTGCTGACGGATCGCGGCTATTTTGAATCGTGACCCGCTTCTGGGGATTTTGACAACACACCCTCGCCCTCCTCCTCGCCCTCCTCCTCCTCCTCCTCCTCCTCCACCTCCTCCTCCGCCCCCCTCCCCCTTCCCCTGCCTGGGGGATGCAGAGGACCTTCACCCCGCCGCTCCCATGCAGTCGACTCAGTTTCAACAACATGCTTTCGGAAAAGTGTCCAGATTGAGTTGCTCCGTTTAGGAGTCACTACGAGAATGTCACCGGCGCTGGTTTAGGGGGGCCACGCCCATCGTGCCCATCTGAGCCCTCTAGTTGCGCCGAAAGGGCAACCCGAGCCCCCCGTCCATAAAGCACGTAACGACGTGAGCCTCAAGCCTCAAGGAAGGTAGAGGGGTGAAAATCCAACCAAGCCAGTGCTGCCATGTCAGTATATGCGAAAATTCGCACGACGCACCAGTGTGAGCTCCGGGTCCTCAGCCCAGGCTATATCTTTGGCTGTGCTGTCTTGTGGGCAGGATGTGGTTGGCAACCCTTTTGGTGCGTCGAGAGAATTTTGCCTACTTGTGTGGCAACACTGAACCGGACCCACAGCAGGTCGATGGCAGTGCTCCCCCAGGACTCGCACTAGCTGGCTGAAGGATGGTTTCCCCGAGCGGCCGGCGCGCCGTCGTCGCGCCGCCGCCGCCAGCGCTCTCGTCCCCTCCAATGACTCAGCCGGGAATGTAGGCAGCCCACCCGGCGCGGCTGCAGGGAGGGTGGCGACGCGGCGGCGCCAGGCCGGCGCCAGGCGAATGGTTAGTGCGCCCCGCTGTCGTAGACTCGCTCCGAGAGTCGTTTTGGTCGCTCTGTACCTCTCGCACTCATGGGGTGATCCATATAGATGCGAGAGAGACAGGGCGACGAAAACGACTCTCGGAATGAGTCTGCTGCTAGGCCGCTAGCGCTGCCGACGCCGGGGAACGCTTGGTGTGGCCCACTAGCGCTGTAGTACCGTGCTCGCGAGAAGACCAGGCACGGAGTGCCACCCCCCAGACCGTGGCATTCGTCTACCGATGGGTAGTAGGCAATTTGTGAGGCAAACACCTGTAAGTTGGCAAAGTGAAAGGCAAACGCCTCAAGTAGTGGTAATTGACAATTATCTGTGAGTAGCCACAATGCATGGCTCAGCCTTGAGCATCTCTTTTGGTAAACTCGCTGCACGGCATTATTTCGGTCAGTGCATGGAGTGGCAGACCCCTCGAACCATCGGGTTTCGTCGGGTTCCCTTCGTGTCTCGGACGCGTTCGGACACCGCTCGGCCTTGGCGGCCTTGGCTGGCCCTGGCGTTTGCAAGGTTTTAGCTAATCAATGGTGTTTGCTCGCCGCCGTTAATCCGTTCTTGGCGTGCCTGCCGCCGCCCCACCAATTTTTTATCCCTTCGATGCGGAGTGGCCTTCGCCGCGCCTGCGCCTTCGCGAGGCCTGCCTGGCCTGCCCGCCGAGGCCACGCTCTGACCCACACGGGTCGCCGGGTCGCGGGAAGAGGTTTCTTACGGCCTTCCATTTCCTGATCACGGAACGCTCTCTGATGATAAGGGTGGTTTCGTGGGGCAGTGCGAGGAGAATGGATGCTATTTGAACTCAAGGCCTTGGCCCTGGCGCCGGGTAGACGTGGATCCAGTGGGGAGCCCAAAGGACAACTGACAATACCTCGCCTCCAGCCCCATGGCCTAGATAGCCACCTGAAAGGTGGGTGAAAAGCCTCGTTCTGTAAGTGGCGAAAATCTGTCGATTTCTCCTCCTTTGCAACTTTAACCTGACTGGGTATAACGTCGGGGACTGAGAGGGTGCTGAAGACACGCCTTTGAAGTCTACTGTTATGATTTATTACGTTTTATTTGTTTTAATGAATTTGGTGACAATGTACGATTCTATGGCGTTGAACATATTCTTTATGATTAAAATAAAATACAGGTAAAACAGTGGTGGCTCCAAAGTCATCTTTGAAGCCACCCAGACGTGAATATAAACACCAATACTGTAAGACAAAATTCAGACTGGTGTCGGTAATGTTGTAAGTCAATGGTCCGTTGGGTTGCCTATGCAATGCAGCTCTACGGAGGGTTTGCATTGCACTAAGTACTTCGGAATCTTACAAAATTGACACTCTTATATTTCTCTCAGGCATCCGTAACAAAAATTAAATACTTAAATGGCTAGGCCCCACACATGGTGAAGTAGGCGCACATTCACAACAATCGTATAATAATGACTTTCGCATTACTCACACACTCGCTCTGACACACGCATACACCGTCTGCTGACAACTATTCATGACTGCACTTTATACTTTTCTTTATCACACACTCACACACGCTCGCACGCACACAACTACGACTTACGTTTCTAAAAGTTCTAATTTTGGAGAGCATTGTTTTAAAATCGACAAGATTCATTATGCGTTCCTGCACACTAAACGCCCATGGACAATTTTTTTTTTAAACAACTGGAAATAGTTATTTTGTGCCTTACCAAACCTGGTGATAAAATTGCACCAGCATTAGTTACAACTTTGTGTCCAGATTTTGCAATGCACAAAACCGTTTCCAGTTGGTCGCAAAAATCGTCTATATACGTTTAGAGTGTAATGAGAGGTTTCAAGAGACTTTTGTGCAGGGCCGCGGAGGGCGGCAGACTTCCAGACTTTTGCACTGGCCAATTGTTGGCGGATCCTCCACCCCCTCTTTCCTCAGGCTAATTTACGTGTGCTTCACACCACACATGCCAAACGTGTTCAGTACTCAAGCACTCACATTAACTACTTTTTTGATCAGACCAAGCCAGATGCACAAATCACGGTCTGTATAAATCGTGACAAAACAACTTCAAAGTTTGAGGAAAGACATCCAAAGTGTTTTTGACGCCATGCTCAGACAAACGTGTCACACAGTCTCTAGGTTCCTTGCATGCGTTTACAAAGCGAAGAAATAGTGACGACGCAAAGAGGCTCTCAAACCTCGGTGGGAAGCAGAAGACAGCCGGGACAGGCGGGATTCGAACCAGAGCCCGTAGACTGACTGCTTCAGAGAGTCGTTTTCGTCGCGCGGTCTCTCTCGCACCTCCAGGGAAGACGCCTCAAGTGTGCGGTGGAGACATAGCGACGAAAAAGACTCACAGAATCAGTCTGCTGCACAGGGCTGGTTCAAACCTCTACCTGGCTCAGACAACAGTCTTCTCTTTCCCTCCGACAGGGCTCACAACAATTCTACAATCAAGCCTACGCGATAGTTTTCCAAAATAAAATCATTTTAAAAAATTATAATAACGATAACAAAAACAGTCGAGGTATTAGCTGGTGGCGTGGAGTCAGCCCTTTAAAGGTGCGAAGGGACAGGGGGTGCGGCCCTGAGGGGCCCTGAGGGCCGTAGCGCGCTGTCCTCACTGGTTCACCGTCACCGGCGAGCCCTTCCACTCCAAGTACAGGGAGTACGCCCCCGCGGCGTACGCGATGAAGTTGAAGATGCCGAACACCTGGGAACACGACGAGCACGTCAGAAAACGAGTTTTGGCCGCCTCCACCACCGGTCTTCCGGCCCACTGTGCGGAGGAGCAACGTTTGTTGGTTTTCCACTTACTCCCGCCGCGATGTTGGACCCCCTGGCGTAGCCGTACCACGGCGACCACGCGGCCAGCTGCACGATGAAGGCGATGAAGTACAGGATGGTCATGATGCCGGTGTTGATCAGCTCCTGCGGCGAAAACCCACGTTAATGTCCTTTCGTCGTTTTTACCCAACTGCTCAGCACACTGGTTATCCCAGTGTAGGCGAGCTCACCGTGAGGATCCAGTTGATGGGTAGCCGGAGCGCCTCCCGGATGCCCAGCAGGTACACGAAGATCCAGATGAGGGTGGCGATGAAGGCGGACACCACCACGAACAGGAACCAGTGCGTCCCGCTGAGGTAGGCGGGCGAGGCGAGGGCCATGCACAGGATGCCCAGGACCTGCAACAGAAAGCGGTTCGTTTTACGTCCGTTTTTCTCGGTTTTTCTTGCAAGAAAGTCCCGCGCAACAAGCTTGCCACCGGAAGACGCTGCACGGGTTGCACACACAGGTAAAGGAGTCGCGTAAACAACCCTCAAGTCGGGCCTCGTCACGCCAAGGCAAGGTGCGGATCCGGGGGGGGGGGGGGGGGGGGCGTCACGGAGCGAGCTGACCGGCTCACAGTGGGCCAGAAGACCGGTGGAGGCGGACAAAACTCCCATATAGCGACTCTGGGGCTCAAAACACGTCTGGCTGGAGTTTTGGCCGCCTCCACCGGCCTTCTGGCCCACTGTGCGGCTGGAGCACCATCGTCGTCGGAATTAGAAAAGGAAAAATTGTCGTTTTGAAGTTTGCGGTGGGTTTGCTGCCGAGGGCGTGGAACTTTGTAACGGTCGCGTGTGCCGTGTCGCTGGCTGCACTCATGTTTATGCAGCGCCCGAGGGCCGGCCGCCTCCACCAATCCGACAGCCCCCCCCCCCCCCCCCACACACACACACACACGGACTGCCTGGCCTGTCGCCTATCTCCGGGAAGCCATCGGGGAGGTTCGAAAGGTGAGGCCACCGGCGGTCAGCTGTGTGGACTGTCGCGAGTCGTTTTCGTCGCTCCGTCTCTCTCCGCACCTACACGGGACGCCCAAAGAGCGCGACAGAGACAGAGCGACGAGAACGACTCTCGGCATCAGTGCGCGTCATTATTGACAACACGTGTACGTCACTGTTAATCGGAGTGAGCCGTGTCCGCGCAGCTCGTGGGTCGGGGACCCACTATCAGTGCACTATCAGGGACCGGCTGGGCGAGGCGCCATCGGCACGGAGTGAATCATACGTAGAACCCACACTGGTATAGCGTAAAGTCGACGCGGGGCAACCCTCTCGACGCACCCCACGTCTCATGATCGTGGGAATGTTTAGCCACTCGTGAGGCGGCACGGCTTCGCCTGGAACTTCCCCGGAGCGCCGTCGCTACGCCGCGATCACCGCGCAGGGAGTATCGCCGGTGCGGCGCGGCCATGCCACGGCGATACCCCGCGCCGCGAGGTCCCGCCGGCAACCTGTTGTGCTGCGCAGAAGGCCGGCGCAGGCCGCCAAAACTCTGGACGCGTTTTGAGCTCCAGAGTCGCTAAACAGGGCTCGAACCGAGCGTGTTACCCCACCAATGGATTCCTCGTTCGGAGAGCAATCCATTGGTGGGGTCACACGCTCGGTTCGAGTCCCTTTTAGCGACTCTGGAGCTCAAAACGCGTCTAGAGTTTCGGCCGGCTGCGCCGGCCTTCTGGCCCACTGCGTGCTGGTGCGGGGAGACGCCCACTGGCCCTGCACTGGTAACTGGCACCGCGTCAAGCGGACGGCGCGCGCTTCCGCAACTCGCCGTAAATCTCCGTCCGTCCCCTTCAAAGTCTCGGGACGGGTTCGGGAAAGGCAGCGGGGTCGTCTCTGTCACAGCCTTTGTCACACTCACGGGCGCTCGCGAGGGTGCGAGAGAGACAGAGTGAGACGCCAGAGGGTGTGTTCGCGGTGTGGGTGCGGTCGCGGAGGCACGCCTCGGCGGAGACGCGGTCCGCGACGCGAGCCGCGACGCGCATCACGATGTCCAGGAAAGGGCAGTGCCGTGCCGTGGTCACCGCTTCCTTCCGGCCGCCGGACGCGGGTTCGAATACCCGCACTGTCGTTTGTTTTGCCCAGCGGTGTTTTTTCCCAAACACGCACACTGCGTTTCCCGTGTTACTATTCACGGAACTTACTGCTCTGCATCGCTTCGTAAAACTTGCGTAGGGTCTCGGCCATGCTAACTGCAAAGGGAAGGCGGATCCTTGTGCAACGACTGCGAAGTAGTTCCTTCGCAAAGCTTCGCAAGCAGCCAAATCTTCGGCTGTAGCAGTGTGGCGTGCAGGTGTTCGCTGGGCCCTGGGCCTTCGCTGGGCCTCAGGGCCCGGCCCTGCGCCCTTTGGGCCGCGCGGCCCCGGCCCTGCAGGCCCTTCGGGTGGCCACTGGAGCCTGAAATGGATGCACGGCGGCACCGCCAGGGCGGCACCACGCGCCGTTTGCGCCGTCCGCCAGAGTCGTTTTCGCCGCTCTGTCTCGCTCGCACCCATGCGGGACGCCCTGTGAGTGCGAGAGAGACAGCAAGCGACTCTGCAGGGCGTTCGTCCTCGCCTCGCCGGGCTGAGCCCCGCCAAGCTTGAATAAACGACAGCTTGATAAGGACAGGGAGTGTGACTAACGCCGCCGGACACTGCCAGCGGGGACAGTGCCGCCACGCCCGGTACACTTTTAAGGCCGTTTTATTGATTGTTTATTGCAACCTACAGAGGATCCTTCGACCCAGTACGTTGTCTTACTGACGCACAGTGGGCCAGGCGGCCAGACTCTAGACGCGTTTTGAGCTAAAGAGTCGCTAAATGGGACTCGAAGCGGACGTGTGACCCCACCAATGGATTGCTCTTTCGAAGAGCAATCCATTGGTGGGGTCACACGTCCGGTTCACGCCCCATCGAGCGACTCTTTAGCTCAAAACGCGTCTAGAGTCTGGCCGCCTGCACCGGTCTTCTGGCCCACTGTGCGACGCTTGAGAGTGCTCCCCATGTCTCTCGACCGTCGGGCACTTCGGAGATACGCCCCTCTGTGCCTTGGCCTGAGTGCCGTCCTGCGATGGGCGGAGCGTGGCGATACGACACAGGGCCTACCGTAAGGGTGCGAGAGAGACAGAGCGACGAGGCACTGTCAGAAATCAAGCTGTCCCATCCGCCGTATCGTGTAACGTGCGTCCCACAGACTCGTTCCGAGATTCCTTTTCTGTCCCTCTCGAACGCTACGGGATGCCCTGTGAGAGCAAGAGAGACAGCGACGTGAACGACCCTCGGAATCAGTCTGCTGTGACGGACAGGTCGGGCGGCGCGCACAGTGGGCCAGAAGACCGGTGGAGACTGACAAAACTCCAGACGCGTTTTGAGCTCCAGAGTCGCTAAATGGGAGTCGAACTGAACTGTGACCCCACCAATGGATTGCTCTCCGAACGAGCAATCCATTGGTGGGGTCACACGTTCGCTTCGAGTCCTATTTAGCGACTCTGGAGCTCAAAACGCGTCTAGAGTTTTGTCAGTCTCCACCGGTCTTCTGGTCCACTGTGCGCGCCACGCGCGCTGGCCGCGGCGCCACGGCCACTCCAAAACACTTGATCTCTTTTCAATCGAATTCGGAGCTCTCCGACAACTCTGTATGCTTTTCCTCGGCCGGCGGGCGCGCTGCACACGTTCATCTCGATGCAGACGGGCTCATAAATTAATCCAGGCAGCGCGGGGCAATTACGGAGGCTGGGTTTTGAATGCAACGGTACCTCCACTGCACGCAGCCACGCAGCCACGCAGCCACCGAGTCATGACGGGGATGAGGAAAAGGGCGTCAGGGCAAGCGCGGGGCTCATACCAATGAGTGCCGTACACTGTCAAAAAATATTTTTCTTTTGATTGTAATATCAAATCTCTCTTTGATGGAGAGAGAGAGAGAGGAGAGAGAGAGAGAGAGACAGGGAGAGAGAGGACGAGAGAGAGAGAGAGAGAGAGAGAGAGAGAGAGAGAGGAGAGATGAGGAGAGAGAGAGAGAGGTTAGCAAGACACAGCTGAGACACCCAGATGGCGGCCCCGCCCCCACCAAGCCAGGTGTGCCAGAGCGTGGCGTGCGCGACCTGCCGGCCGAGGTAGCGGGGACCGCCGTGGAGGTGGGCGGCCTGCTCTTCTTCAGTCTCTCTCTCTCTCTCTCTCTCTCTCTCTCTCTCCTCTCTCTCTCTCTCTCTCTATCTCTCCTCTCTCTCTCTCTCTCCCCTCTCTTCTCTCTCTCTCCCTCCTTCTCTCTCCTCTCTCCCTCTCTCTCTCTCTCTCCCCCTCTCTCCCTCTCTCTCTCTCCCTCTCTCTCTCTCTCTCTCTCTCTCTCTCTCTCTCTCTCTCTCTCTCTCTCTTCCCTCTCTCTCTCTCTCTCTCTCCCCTCTCTCTCTCTCTCTCTCTCTCTCTCTCTCTTCTCTTCTCCTCTCTTCTCTCCTCCCTCTCTCTCTCTCTCTCTCTCTCTCTCTCTCTCTCTCTCTCTCTCTCTCTGTCGTGCGTCGTCGGTGCGTCCACCGGGATGCTGTCGCTCTGCACTCGCTCTGTCAGCCTCAGCGTGTCGCTCGGCTTCGCGGCTTCGAGGCGTGGCCTTGCCAAGGACAGCTCCCCCACGCCCACAGTGCAGCGCCCACACACTCACACTCACACTCACACACACACACGGCGCGGCATTAAACCGCACACACCTACTGGCCGACTCAAGCCTCCGATCACGTCAACGCGACCGACTGGCGCCGCGACTCGAGTGCGACGCCACCTGCAGAGTTTTGAACCGCCGGAAAATTTCTCTTGCGTTCGCGGCAACACTGCCGGAGAGCCCCACAGGTCGTGTCTAATCCAGCCCACAGTGGGCCAGAAGACCAGTGGAGGTGGTCAAAATTCCGGACGCGTTTTGAGCTAAATGGGACTCGAACGCAACGAGTGACCCCACCAATGGACTGCTCTCCGAACGAGGAATCGATTGGTGGGGTCACACGTTCGGTTCGAGTCCCGTTTAGCGACTCTGGAGCTCAAAACGCGTCTGGAGTTTTGGCCGCTGGCCCACTGTGCAGCCCTGCGGGAGCGCCTTACGGGGGCCGGGCGGGCCGCACCGCCGAGCACGGCAGTGTGGCGGGCTGGCCTACGCTGCAGGCGCTCTGCAGGGGCGAGGCAGGCCGGCCCGCCACGCGCGGGGGTCCGGCGGGCCGGCCTGCCCTGCATTCTGCAGGCGGACTTCCGTCTGTTTTTTGACAAAGTTATTTCTGCTGGCGGTCCGTGCGGCTCCAAGGTCGGCACTGCAGCGCGCTGCACTTCGCGCGGCGTTTCGCCTCACGCTCCTGGCGACGCCCCGGCACTCCTCTTGTTCCTGTCTTCGTACCGCCCGTC